AAATCCCAAATCCATCCCTATCCCAGGATCCCAAATCCATCCCTATCCCTGACCTTTGGGTCTTTCCCTGCTCCCCCCTTGTCTCCAAACCCCTTCCCACGAGGAATCATGCCGGGAACTGGGAATTCCTCCCTCTCCCGGCCCTTTCCCGGTGGCATTCCCGATGGGATACCTTGGCCCAGTGGGGTCTCCCGCCGTGTTTCCGCATGATCCGCTCGTAGGTGCTCCAGTATTCCCGGGTGGGAACGGCCTTCCCGTAGGGCCTGGGGCGGGAACAGGGAATTACCGGGATCAGGGAATGGGCGGGATGAGGGAATGAGCAGGATTAGGGAATGAGCGGGATCAGGGAATTACTGGGATCAGGGAATGAGCGGGATGAGGGAATTACCAGGATGAGGGAATGAGCGGGATCAGGGAATGAGCGGGATGAGGGAATTGGTGGGATCAGGGAATCGGCGGGATGAGGGAATGAGTGGGATGAGGGAATGAGCGAGATCAGGGAATGGGTGGGATGAGGGAATGAGTGGGATGAGGGAATGAGTGGGATCAGGGAATTGTTGGGAACAGGGAATTGTTGGGATCAGGGAATGAGCGGGATCAGGGAATGAGCAGGATCAGGGAATGGGGGGGATCAGGGAATGAGCGGGATGAGGGAATTACCAGGATCAGGGAATTGTTGGGATCAGGGAATGAGTGGGATGAGGGAATGAGCGGGATCAGGGAATTGTTGGGATCAGGGAATGAGTGGGATCAGGGAATGGGCGGGATCAGGGAATGAGTGGGATGAGGGAATGGGTGGGATGAGGGAATGAGGGGGATCAGGGAATTGTTGGGACCAGGGAATTGTTGGGACCAGGGAATGAGCGGGACCAGGGAATGGGGGGGATCAGGGAATGAGCGGGATCGGGGAATGAGCGGGATGAGGGAATGAGTGGGATCAGGGAATTGTTGGGATCAGGGAATGAGTGGGATGAGGGAATGAGTGGGATCAGGGAATGAGCGGGATGAGGGAATGGGATTGGCAAACCTGGAAAACACCGCCCAGGGAAGGCCAGGAGAGCCCGGGAAAGGGGAATGGGAGGTGGATTGGGAATGAACCCCCATCCCACAGCCCTGGGTTATCCAGGGAATGTTCTGGAATGTGCCAGCACATCCCACAGCCCAGGGATTTGGGAGCACAGAGATCCAGAACAGGGAATGGGACGGATTTGGGATCCCATGATAAGGATGGATTTGGGATCCCGGGATAGGGATGGATTTGGGATCCTGGGATAGGGATGGATTTGGGATCCCAGGATAGGGATGGATTTGGGATCCCGGGATAGGGATGGATTTGGGATGACAGGATAGGTTTGGGGATCTCAGGACAGGGATGGATTTGGATCCCATGACAGGGATGGATTTGGGATCCCGGGATAGGGATGGATTTGGATCTCAGGATAGGGATGGATTTGGGATCCCAGGAATGGATTTGGATCCCAGGGATCCCGGGACAGGGATGGATTTGGATCTCAGGATAGGGATGGGTTTGAATCCCAGGAGTGGATTTGGATCCCGGGATAGTGATGGATTTGAGATCCCAGGGATGGATTTGGGATCCCAGGACACGGATGGATTTGGGATGACAGGCGTGGTTTGGAGATCTTGGGATAGGGATGGATTTGGGATCCCGGGAAAGGGATGGATTTGGGATCCCATTAAAGGGATGGATTTGGGATCTCAGGACAGGGATGGATTTGGGATCCAAGGACAGGGGTGGATTTGGGATCCAAGGCCAGGGATGGATTTGGATCCCGGGCCAGGGCTGGAATTG